AACCAATGCATAGCTAAGGCCACACTTCTTATTCAAGAAAATTCGATTGCTGTCAGACATCGGTTGTCACTGATGATAGCTCTAACATGTTTCTTCATAGCAGGATAGCGATATTTCATCAGCTGATTAGGAAGCAGCGACTTTCATCGTCTGTCATTGCTTTCTTAGGAAATGCAAGACAATCGGCATCGTTGAGAAAGAAAGGATAACTTATAGACTGCTATGGTTAAGGTAGATCCGAGTTCAGTGCAAGTCGGTTCGTTCGAAAAGCAGAAACCTGTGACTGTTTGAGGAATGGTTAAGAGAACTTCACACGTTGGACCGACCAAAACATCAGTAATAATAAGGGAAAAAAGAAACGATAACATCAATCAAGCAGAACTGACTTATCATGTTAGGCAATGCTCTACTGTATACGAAGTTTAAGTTTTTTACCTTGAAAAAACCGGCACATCCGTCACATGCAAATATGCCATAATGTTTTCCAGACGAATGATCATGGCATACTTTGCATGGAATATCCAATAGAATTCGGCCTAAAATGTAACTTCTGTCGTATAACGGTTATAAAATGTGAATAAGTCAACTTCTGAGTTTAAATCAAGATATTATTAACAACTACCGTAATCTAGAACAGCAACAGACACCTGAGTTTACGTATAGTATTGAATATCGCGTTGGATAGTCAGCCATCGAATCAGTCAGGGAGAACTCTTGCCTTAAGAAGCGTTCGCATCAGACAGGGTGGCGAAATTTTTCTTCCATTTGGATACGATTACCCAAGAATGTTTTGCTGATCCTATTGTCCTCAGGTTAACGAATTTTTTACCTGTTTTGAGCTGGCTGCACCGAGGCAAAGTGGGGTGACTTGCCAATTAATTAAAATTTTTCTGTTTGGATGTGAACCCCGCACCTCATACGCCTGGTCTACATATGAAGAGCCGAAATATGAGCATGATATTGAGACGTGATATACAAATTAAATGCATATTTTCCCAAGGATAATTGTATCATTCTGAGCGTAGCATTAAAACGCCGTCGACGATTCTAAAATGTACAATGACGTGCATCAAGCAGAGAATAAAATCAGCGCCTATAGGATTTGACCCACGTTCTGGGGTCAAACGAACAAGAGGTGAATAAGAGGTTGCACGCGCTATGACAGCACTCGCTTCCTAATTTGATTCACGTGTAAACTCAGATATTTGCATCGCCTATCACAAGGGCGGAATGATATTTTTATCAGAGACAAGCAACTCCAATTAACAATCTACAATGGAACAAATTAATTAATTATGTAGATTTTTTCGACATCATGTTACAAAAGTTTTGATATATGAAGTTGAAGCAATCAGAAATATTGAAAATGCTGTGGTTCTGACTTACATCTCAGAATGGACTGGTTATCTCCAAATTTTAATTACAGTATCCATCAATATACTACTGAATATTAACGATGGATCAAAACCGTTGCATACCGGCTTTTACGGGAGTTGAGAAATAAGCATACGTTTTTTCGCCAACTTACCACGGCAGATGAACATTTCGAGGATCCTGACAATGTACCGCAGTAAGCGGGTGAGTGGCTTTTCCTTACTTTATTATTGCATGTGATAAGCTGTTCTAGTGCTTGTTACATCACAAGTTCCCACGTTGCATCATGGTAGGATACTGTAATGATTGCGATAACAGATTTCCCTGCACACTGTCTTAGCGATTAATTTCATACTGTGTCATCTCACAAAATGGGTGAGAAGTTGAACTAGTATAAGCTACTCCTGCGATTTTAACGCTATTGAGTAAGAATTGAGATGGCTTTTTGAAGCATCTAAGAACAACGATGCACGAAAAGCGTTTGTACCTCACTCTGCTAAAATACCCTGCTTAATTATTACAGGTACATGAGGTTGAGAAAGTCAATTAACAATCTTTTAGACAATGGAAAAGTATGACTTTTAGATTCACACCTCAAGTCCTCATTTCATATTAACCGTAACTATAATTTGCATAAACGGTGTAGTCGAACTGAATGACATCTCAATAGCATTCAGTGTCTACGATTATGATTTAAATATGATGTCACGCCTGTGCTGTGGCTCAAACGTTGCAGTTTGATGAAGCAGAATAATGTGTAAATTTTCGATTGAATTCGACCGCAGTAGAGTAAGAATAATTTTGGCGGTTAGTTAGGAGTCAGTTATTGAGTTTCGATGGCTGCTTACCCTTTTAGCTCGAGGAGGCAGACTCGTCTGGTAATGTCTCCGAAGAACCCAATCCAGTATCTCGTGCCAGCTGCGACGGAAAATATCCCATCTGTAGCGGATTTCTCCATACACTTGCCCCAGACTGTTCCTGGCCGTACCCTGGGTCTTTGACCGGTCTGTTGGGCAAGTAATAGCTGCTTCGTCAAGGAAGACAAAAAAGCTCCTGGTAGGTAGTAACCTCAAATAAATCCTGAGCGTCGTTCACTCTAACGAGAACTCGGGCAGCTATGCGACTACTTAATTGTTCGTACCCTATAATGCGGTAAAATGATGATCAGGTGTTTTCACGTCAGCCCATTTGCGAAACGACTGATACTGAATAACTAGTTAAGTTTATGTATAGCAGCCAAAGTGCAAATTAATAGGACTGCTATTAAATCACTTCATAAAGTTTTCTATCATTGCACAGATGATTAAGAATCACCTCATTCTACCGAAAAGCAAATCAAACGATGCAAGTCAAATAACTCTTCTACATGTGGCCTAGACTTGTAGAATTATACAAGTCCTCCTAGCCGCTGTCATTTTTACCCTATCCTGTATGGTATATAGGATATGTATATTTTACAGAATATGTATATTTTCTAGTTCATTTACACTTCAGAAAATCATTGTCAGAAATAGACCTAACAGCCGTTGCTGCAAGATCGCTTCATCACACAAACACAAACCGCTGTGCGCTCTTCTTTCTCTAGTGAACCCATGTAGTACTTTCTATGATTCTCATACCACCACAGATAAATTCTTATTGGACAGTAACAGAGTGCAACTCAAAACAAATGGGTGTTCTAAAATTAGCTGATTTCCTCTTTTGATTTGGGCGCTGTACGCGTCGTGCATCAGTTACAGTAATCCTTAAAGTCGTACGGTATAAAAATTGCCTGCGGTGATGAACATCGATCGTACCGGCGCAATCGCCATTCTGGCCAATATTTGTCAGAAGCAGAGCGGAATTGATTGATTCCGTGCACTATGTCACTTCCTGCCAAATTCTGATAATGAACGCCGTTCTCAATGACCCCTTTTTCAATATTGACCTTCTTGGCCGCTTATTCGCTTAGCCCATGGTGTAAGCTTCTGGCAACACCCGACTTTATTAAAATCTATTTTCATCGCCATAAGTAAATTCTGGATAAACCAGCCACTACTCCTGTTTTTGCCGCCTAGCCACCGTTCCAAGCCAAAAGTCCCCTTTTGACAGTTTGGTCAGGCAACAAGGACACTCCAGGTCATAAGATGGAGCATTTCAAAGAATCGAGAATAGAATCGCTGGATTCGATCCGTTCAAACAAAAGCATCAAATGAGATAATAATGCTTAATAAAGTACCGAAAACGTAGGTTTAGAATTTGAAAGTAAACAAACGGGTCATCATGTGCTTGATCAGGTTCTGGAAAATGGATCGAACAACATGAATTTCACAAGCAGGGTTTTCATTACTCATCCTGCGTAATGTTGTGACAGGTGATAAGCGAGGACGGTGGTATCACATTGCACTTATGTTTCTAGGGTAATTCAGAAACATTGAAGAAGAAAGGAATTCTGCTATGGGTGTTCATAAACGAAGAATTATGAATTTTCCGTTCCATATTTCTAATTAGATAAATTGATTTGACACCTGGCGCCAGAGGACCCATAAAATAAAAAACGGTACAGAGAAAAATTAACAAGAATTCAAGAAATAATCAAATTATGCTCATATCCATCAGTGAAAATTAGTGTATGGGTAAAAGGAGAAAAAGCTTTTTTCTAGATTATAGGATACAAACACGGAGGAAGGAAAAACGTCAAAATAAAACAGGTGAAATGGAAAAATGTGGAGGCCAGATGGTGCGACTACGTGTTGAATCTGGGAAAGAAGGAAAGACCAGCCAACCAACCATACAAAATAAGACATTTGCCATTTTGGAAGCAGATTAGGATTTGATCAGAGCTGTTATTTGAATAACAATAAAAAATAAAAGGAAATTTGCTTCATTCTATAAGCTTTGTTTCATAATCCATCAGCTCGACTGTATAATTTAGTCTACAACCAGAGCAAACGTTGTTTGCTTGCTTTGCTCATCAATGGGAATGCTTCGTTGAGTTTGGATGCCAATAGTTAAACATAAGAAATAGTGGAGGTTATCCTGAGTTAGAAACTATACCCCGGAGGCTGAGAATGAGTCGTAACTTATTTAAAATAATCTTCATCGGTTGTTTAGTTTCAGTGATAGCTTGTAACTTCTGGTCGCAGCAGCAACAGTACAAAACAGAGTCTCCAACGTTTCTGATCTTGCACCTGCGTCTGAAATTTGGCAAAAGAAAACTCAAGTCTCAGCAGAGTCTGGCGAAGCACTTGCCCAGGAAATCATCTTCATTAACTTTCTGTATGACTCGAAGTTAAGTGAAGATTAAATCAATGGTAATGAAATTCATCTTTTAAAGTTTCTACAGTATGCTCAACAGTTGCGAACTATATTTTATGTCAGTGATCTAGCTGGACATCGTGAATGCCTCATCCTTGGCATCCGTTTTTGCTTATGAGTGATTCATCGTTCTGTTCAACGCCTATCGTTCTTTAAGTGAAATAATGCTTCTTCATATCGCTGGTTTTCCCATCTTCAAATCGGTATGCACAACTCAAGTAAATCTCTGGTCACCGTAGATTCAGTCGGTCTCATGGTTTTCCACTTAGCGGCTCGTAGAATTTATGTCAC